AACCCACAGGGTGAGCCACCAGGACTCTGGGATGTTGGAAGGAGACAAGCACCTTCCTCCGGAGCCCATAGAGGTAGCCTTCCCTGCGAGCTGGCACCCTGAGTGTGGACCTCCAGCCTCCTAAACTGTGAGCAAATAACTTTGTTTGTTCGAGCCACCCACCTGTGGTAGCTGTGTTACAGCAACATTAGATAACAGAATTTGGTACCAGGAGAGGGGTGCTGCTCCAACAGGTACCTAAAAGGTGGAAGTGGTTTTGGAATTGCATGACAAGTAGAGGCTGGCAGAATGTTAAGATGTTGTTGTTAAGTGCCGTCGAGTCGTTTCCAACTCATAGCGACCCCATGCACAGCAGAACGAAACACTGCCCGATCCCGCACCAGCCCCACAATCCCTGCTATACTCGAGCCCATCATCGCAGCCACTGTATCAATCCATCTCGTTGAAGGCCTCCCCCTCTTTCGTCGACCCTCCACCCTACCAAGCATGACATCCTTCTCCAGGGAATGGTCCCTTCTTACAACATGACCAAAATAGGTGAGACGAAGTCTGGCCATTCTTGCTTCCAAGGAGCATTCTGGCTGCACTTCCTCCAGGACAGATCTGTTAGTTCTTTTAGCAGTCCATGGTACTTTCAGCATTCTTCGCCAGCACCACAACTCAAAAGCATCAACTCTTCTTCGGTCTTCCCTATTCATTGTCCAGCTCTCACATGCATACAAGGTGATTGGAAATATCATGGCTTGTGTCAGGCGCACCTTAGTCCTCAAGGAGATATCCTTGCTCCTCAGCACGAAACAGTTCCTTCGCAGTTGACTTTCCCAATGCTACACGACGTCTAATGTCCTGACTGCTGCTTCCGTTGGCATCGATTGTAGAACCAAGCAATGTGAATTCCTTGACAACCTCAATCTTCTCTCCATTGATTGTGATGCTGCTCATTGGTCCAGTTGTGAGGATTTTTGTTTTCTTTATGTTGAGATGTAATCCATACTGCAGACTGTATTCTTCAACCTTCATCAGTAGGTGCCTTAAGTCATCCTCACTTTCAGCAAGCAAAGTTGTATCGTCTGCATATCTCAGGTTGTTAATGATTCTTCCTCCAATCCTGATACCACGTTTTTCTTCATATAGTCCAGCTTCTCGGATTATTTGCTCAGCATATAGATTGAATAAGTGTGGAGAAAGAATACAACCCTGACGCACTCCCTTCTTGATTTTAAACCATGTAGTGTCCCCTTGTTCTGTTCGAACGACAGCCTCCTGGTCAAGGTACAGATTCCTCATGAGTACAATCAAGTGCTCAGGGATTCCCATTCTTCTCAATGTTATCCATAATTTGTCATGATCCACACAATCAAATGCCTTTGCATAGTCAATAAAACACAAGTAAACCTCTTTCTGGTATTCTTTGCCTTGAGCCAAGATCCATCTGACAACAGCTATGATATCCCTTGTTCCACGTCCTCTTCTGAATCCGGCTTGAACCTCTGGAAGTTCTCTGTCAATATACTGCTGCAAACGTTTCTGAATTATCTTCAGTAATATCTTACTTGCATGTGATATTAGTGATATTGTTCTATAATTTCTACATTCTGTGGGATCACCTTTCTTTGGAATGGGCACAAATATGGATCTCTTCCAGTCAGTTGGCCAGGTAGCTGTCCTCCAAATCTCTTGGCATAACTGAGTGAGCGCCTCCAATGGGGCATCTGTTTGTTGAAATATCTCAATCGGTATGCCATCAATTCCCGGAGCCTTGTTCTTCGCCAGTTCTTTCATTGCAGCTTTGACTTCTTCCTTCATTAGAAAGAATTGGCCAGGGAAAACCTTATGAATAGCAAAGAATGTTAAGATACCAGATAGTAAAAGCCTAGATTGCCTTGAGGAATCTGCTGGTGGGATGATGGACGTCAGAGGCAATCCTGGTGAGGTCTCAGAAGAGAGAGAGCTGTAGAGAAAACCTCTGTCATCTGAGAGAATGCATATGGCGCCAACCACAGGGTGTTGCAGCGCAGTGTGCTGCTGGTGAGGTGTTAAAGGGTGCGACGTACATGTGATTGGACAGTGGAGGAAGGGCAGTGCCTTTAACGCCGTGGCAAAGAACGTGTCTGAATTATGACCAAATGCTTGGTGGAGGGGAGAACTTACAAGTGATGAACTTGACTATTTGAGGAGATTTCTAAGCAAGATCTTAAAGGGGCCATGAGTTTTCTCCTTGTTGCTTATAGTAAAATATGAGAGGAAGAGATGGACTTAAAAATGAACTGTGCACAAGATGAAAACAAAACATAAAGAGATGGAAAGTTCTGTTGTACAAATTAAGGACACATTTCCTAGAATTTTCACCAAGGACGTGGCTACACAATCTTTAGTTAAGGAGATTAAGCCTGTGACTGATGGATCTACCCAACTGAAAACCCATCAGCTCGGACTGCAGGGGACAGAGAAAGTGCAACAGGAAAGAACACTGCCTCTTGGAATCCTACACATGGGACACAGACCAAAGGAGCTGCGCCTCTTGTCTTCCAAGAAAAGAGCAGGACCAGCCCTGGAACAGCTGGAGGTCAGCAGAGCCGTTGGAAGGAGCATGGGAAGCAGAGCTCTCTGGGTCTCAAAGGGTGGGGCCGTGACCTCTGGGGTCTCCTAAGGTGGGGCTGTGGCCTCTGGGGTCTCCTAAGGTGGGGCCGTGGCCTCTAGGGTCTCAAAGGGTGGGGCCGTGGCCTCTGGGGTCTCAAAGGGTGGGGCCGTGGCCTCTGGGGTCTCAAAGGGTGGGGTCGTGGCCTCTGGGGTCTCCTAAGGTGGGGCCGTGGCCTCTGGGGTCTCAAAGGGTGGGGCCGTGGCCTCTGGGGTCTCAAAGGGTGGGGCCGTGGCCTCTGGGGTCTCATAGGGTGGGGCGGTGGCCTCTGGGGTCTCCTAAGGTGGGGCCGTGGCCTCTGGGGTCTCAAAGGTTGGGGCCATGGCCTCTGGGGTCTCATAAGGTGGGGCCGTGGCCTCTGGGGTCTCCTGAGGTGGGGCTGTGGCCTCTGGGAGCTCAAAGGGTGGGACTGTGGTCTCTGGGGTCTCAAAGGGTGGGGCTGTGGCCTCTGGGGTCTCATAAGGTGGGGCCGTGGCCTCTGGGGTCTCCTAAGGTGGGGCCGTGGCCTCTAGGGTCTCAAAGGGTGGGGCCGTGGCCTCTGGGGTCTCCTAAGGTGGGGCGGTGCCTCTGGGGTCTCAAAGGGTGGGGCTGTGGCCTCTGGGGTCTCATAAGGTGGGGCTGTGGCCTCTGGGGTCTCAAAGGGTGGGGCTGTGGCCTCTGGGGTCTCAAAGGGTGGGGCCGTGGCCTCTGGGGTCTCATAGGGTGGGGCCGTGGCCTCCTAGGTTTCAAAGAGTTGGATATTCACCAGCTCAGTTTTGGAAGGTGGGGCTGCTGTTATCAAAGCTGAGGGGTCAAGGTTGCTGTGTCCAAGGGCAGAAGAACAGGTCCTGCCACAATCCAATTCCTAAGGTTGCACCCTTTGGCCCTCAAAAATCATGTCCTTGTCACAGGCAAAACACATTCACCCCATCCCATCACCCCAAGCCCAAACTTCATCTTCTGAATCATGTAAATCCAAGATGGGGGAGACTTTGGATCTCACTCCAGAGGCAACAGAACAAGAACCCCCCCTGAAGCCAGTGCTCTGAATTTGGACTTGTAGCCTCCTGAACTGTGAGAGAATAAATTTCTGTTTGGTAAAGCCACCCCTTGTGGTGTTTTGTTATGGCAGCACTATGGCGCAGTGCCTAAGGCTGGCGGTTCAAACCCACCAGCCACTCCTCAGAAGGAAGGTTGGGCAATCTACTTCTGTAGTGATGCCACCTCATAAACCCAAGGAGGGATCGCTATGAGTTGCATTGACTCGATAGCAGTGGCTTTATTTATTTATTTATTTTTTGGTGGGAGAAGTAAGGAGATGCATTTGTCTGAGAGTTCCATGGAGGGTCTGGGCAGAGGGGGCCTGGGGTGGGCTCTTGAGTGTGAGGTTGGGTCTTGAGGCGGTGATGCCAGGAGGGAGGAGGGCCCGGTGGTCTGAAAGAACCGCAACATAATGGGGTGGGCTTGGGCAAGCAGTGGGCCTTCATGGGGACGGGTCATCTGGTTGAATGAACTGCAGAGTGAGGGCAACACCTAGCTGCAAGGTAGTGGGGAGGACATGCAGCACGGTGACAGAGGGAACAGGTAGAAATGTGTTTACAGAGTCCCCAGCCGTCTGTTAGTCGCTGTCAAGTTGGTTCTGAGTTGTGCTGACGCCTCGTGTGCAGCACAGGACTGCACTCCCACGGGGTCTCCAGGGGCTGAGTGTTGGCCACCACTGGGGCCTGCGGCGTGCTTCCCCAGAGTGTCACGTGATGGCTGTGGTGCGCTATAGTGTCGTCGCCTTCCTCGATGCAGTCCTGTAGGAGGCAGTCACCCTCCGTCGTCAGAGTGGCTGTTTGCTGCCACTGAGCTCCGAGGCATGGCGGCCCACGGGGACGGAGGTGGAACTCCTCCCTGGGGTTTTCAAGCCGTGGCCGCTTCGAAGCAGGTGGCAGGCCTGACTCCCGTGGCACCTGTGTGGGGGCCCGACCAACATTTCGCCAGTTACTCCAGCGCTGAACTAACCATTCGTGCCCCCAGGGGCTCTGTGGTACTTCTGTTGAAGGCTTTTGGTAGGACCTCCACTGCCCAGGCCGTTGACTTCATTTCCTTCTTTTCACCAATTGCTGACATTGCTGGGCAGTCGACCCTGATGCACGGTGACCCCACGTGCAGGAGGCCAGAGCGCAGTCCAGTCCTGTGCCATCGTCACAGTCGCTGGTGGGCTCAAGTCCCGAGCTGCAGCCCCTGGGTAACCAGCGTCGTCTTCCGTCACCGTCTCCGATAGCGTTGTGTACTTGGTTGCGAAAGATGCAGTAATGTGTGCTTAAGCCCGTGGGTGGGGTTCGAGGGATGGCGTTGTCCCTGGGTCCTCTGACCTTTGCTTATTTGCTTTTCCAAGATTACGACTCGGATGCGATGAGCAGCTCCTACGAGTCCTACGACGAGGAGGAGGAGGACGGCAAGGGGAGGAACGCGCGCCACCAGTGGCCCTCGGAGGAGGCCTCCATGGACCTGGTGAAGGACGCCAGGATCTGCGCCTTCCTGCTGCGGAAGAAGCGCTTCGGGCAGTGGGCCAAGCTGCTGTGTGTCATCAAAGACACCAAGCTGCTGGTACGGCGCCGTGGCTGGCTTGTTCTGTGTCGCTTGCTCAGGCTTGGCACCTCGGACAGTGACGCCTGTGTGGGGCCCACCGGGCATCCCTGAGGGAGGCGGGTGCTCAGACGTCCGGGACCAGGGCTGTGCCTGGGCCTGGGCCAGGCCGGGGCTCAGAAGACACAGCGAACTCGCACTGACGCTGCCAGGCCGCGGCCAGCCCAAGGTTGGTGGCAGCACCGTTGCAAGGCCCGGGTCCCGGCACACACTGGGACAAAGTGACCCGACTGCAGGCCGTGTCAGGGGCGTGTGTCCGGGACATGCCGGCCAGGCTGACGGCCAGAGGCTGCTGTCCACAGTGAGTCAGTGGATTCCTCAAAGCCTCGTCAGGGGTGGGGTTTGCAGCGAGAGGGGCCTGGAAGGAAAGGCTTTGGGAAAGGTGGAGGCCCGTTTGTTTTTCAACTTGAAAGGCACAATGTGCAGCTAGACTCTGTGACAGTAGCAGGGACAGGAAAAGGCAGGCAGCTCCCTGGCTCCGCCACCTCCCCCTCCCCACGCCTGCCTCC